GCCCGTTATTCAACTTTCAGTTTGAAGGTTTTCGGTAATAGATGGTTAAAAAAGAAAAGAAAGAAGAGAAGAACTCAACCAAGTTACAAGGCATCTTGGCATAGGCTTGGGGTACACACTTGTGTGTTTCCCCGGGGTGGGAGGTGAATTAAAGAAAGACTAGAGACTGGATACTGGGTGTTACTTCAACTTTAACGCACACAGACCTATGTATCTACATATGTAAATGTATTTATATAAATGTGCACGTATTTTATTCCAATAAGTATAGCAGTAATATACAAATATACACGTGTATGTCTCTATAAATGTATTCATATATGTAAATATATTCTAACGGAAGCACACATATCTATAAATCTGGGTGTATATGTGAAACGAATGTCATTCTGCTATACGTGACATGGGCAACGTGGACTCTGTGTGCCTGGGTGTGGGTGTGTGTGAGTGCGTGTGTGTGGAGAGAGGATGAGAAGAGTTTTATTTCTTTTTACAGTAGCAATCACTCCATGCCTTGTGATATTTATCTCGCCCAGCTCAGAAGCAGGCAATTAGCAGCTCAAAAGAAAGTAAAATAATGCACAATGTGAGCCAAGCATACAAGACAATTCTGGCTGGAGCCCTTCGAACCCTCTGTCCCACCCACTTCCACCTGCCCCAGCAGCAGGTCTGAGACATGTGGTCAAGTGACTTGTCTTCCTCAGCTGAGGTAGTCCCCAAATTTGTTGCACCCGCAGGTTTCGAGGCCAAGGCTTTCTGTCCTTCCCAGGATTCCAGGATCCTCCATGCATAGCTCAGCAGGGTTTACCCAAATGATCCCAGAAAAGGCAGAAAAATTTTGGAAAAAATCAAGTTTGCCCGCACACAACTTTCAGCCTGCAAAGCAGAAAGAGAAAAAACCTAAAGCAGGAGCTCATACCATTCTATTATCCATGTGTCTTATTTTTTCAGTTGGGAAGCTAAAATAATTCTAGGTTCCGCTCACGTAAATCGGATTAGCAACCCACAGAGGGGAATTAGGCACTCGCTGTTTCTGAAAGTATAAAGGTCAAATAAGGTATTTCTGAGGAAGCCTGCCTCCTAGGAAAATAAATGGGGGAGAAGAGGAACAAAATATTCAGGAACATGGTACTTTAATTTTTTTCCCCTGAATATGAAACACTGTGGAAGCTGATTGTCACTCTGAATCACTGGACACCAAACAAGCTGGCGAGAGAACATATTCTACTTACAGACACTCGAAGTCAAAAAGTATTGACTGTGTTTCCAAAACTCTTTCTTTCCCTATCAAGTTTAACTGCGGAGTTCACAATTGTTTCTGTCATCAGTGAGATTTAGAAAACAAAACAAAGCTTATATGAAACCCAAATAGGTGTCTAGCTTTTAAAGAGGAGGACGAAGTTGACAGCTGTTGGTTGCACCTCAAGTAAAGATGAAAAAATCAGTCTCTGGTCAAGACATCAAGGATGTCTCATAGCTTTAGGCCTGCGTGACTTGGGAGCCTTGTCACTTTATGACATAATCTTTGATACTCAAGGATTGGAGGGAAAATTGGCACCTCTGGACACCATCCCATTTCAGTGTTGCCTATCACAGAATCTCCTTTATGTGTGAGTTGTGATTTCATGGGGGCTGCTTAAGGCGGTTCCCAATCACAACTTTCTAAACTCTGGCCCTATTTTCTCTGAAGAGCCAGGCTCTTTCTGGTTGTTATTTGGAGATGGCTGCCCTCTTGTGGTGGAAGTGAGTTTGAATGCTTGGGAGAAAGAAGGCAATAAATAAGTAAATCAGTAAGTAAACAAAGAAATAATCTCCAAAGACGGATTTGGGGATACAAAGTACAGGATGACCATACCTACCCATTTCCCAGGCAATAGGAACAGTTAAAAATGATAACTTTTTTAAACTTTTCTATTCTCTTCGCTAATAGCTGCCTTTCCACCTGCGACCCAGAATGCAGGACTATTCCCTTGAGGTGACCGTGTCTGTTTGCCTTGAAAATGTCACTTACTGCCAGCCCTGGTCAACTCTACCTTTTTCAAAGGTTCATGACAAGTTCTTCAGCTCAGAGGTGAGATTTATTCTTTCTGGGTATATCAAATTTGGTGTATCTGACAGATGTGGGGCGTGGCGAAAGTCAGGGGTCAGTTGTTCGCGGGGAGGGTGATGGTCGTTGCAAATTCAACTATCCCAGAGGGGACAGGCAAGTTCTGTAAAAAAGCAAAGTCTACCAGGTTAGGATCCTATATAAAGGAAGTTGCTGCTTTCCCCTTCCAGTCATTCCTTGCCAGTTTTTCAAGAGATACTAGAAATCGCTTTTGATTGTATGTGGACATGAGCCGGGATGAAATTAAGTGCTTAAAGAGTCATGCTTTGGCAACCTTTCCTTTAGCAGTTGGGCCCAGATGATGTTTAATTTTATTGCATCCTGCAGCTATTAGCATTCACCATTGTTCTTGCCGGCCAACTATTATGCAAATGAACGTTAAAATAATGAGGCTCACATATTGTAAAGGTTCACAGCAGGCAAGAAATGATCCATCTGCCTTGTAATTGTCATTCCACTGAAACCTGTGGCAACTCCCCAGAGAAACATCTTGGCTTAGTAGCATCCCTGTCACTTTGTCACTAGGGTGACACCTGACAGCAATTTTATTTAAGGTCCCCTGGTTGAAGTTCTTTCACGGGAACCAGGAGCCACGGCACAGAGCAACATCGAGGCAATCAAACTTTTACCTGTTTGATGTGTGATTAGATATGGTGGAAGGATGGGTGGCTAAAGTGACTTATTTGCCAACGAGTAGGCCAAGGATCCCTGGTCAGGGTTACTACTCTCAGGCAAATACTGACTATGTCTTAAAAATGAAGAGATAAGGAATTTTGCCCATTTAAGTAGACTCTGTTTTAGGATACACACAGTGGGTGCTCTATAAACATACTGCTTTACAGCCCAAGACGTAATTAGGTGACTTACATTCTAATTCTGGTTTGGCTATGGATGGCTGATCTCTTGGCCCCATCTGTTGATCGGGGTAAATAAATATGTTCTCCCTGCCTCAGATGGCATGATAAAGGTCAAGTGCATAACATGTGTGGGCTGGGAGAATTAAAAAATGCCATGCAAACACAAGATTCTGATTGCTGCTTTATATATCTTTAAATGTATTTTTTGGCCCTCTGCCTGAAATATTATGGCCTGATTTTGAGAGATAGGACTTTACACGCCTTTCTTCTTTCCGCCCCCTCCCCCGCCCCCTCCTTCTTCATTTCATCAGAAATGTTACTACTTGGGTTGATTAAGCCAATAACAAAATTTTACAGTCTGAGTCCCCTCATGAATAATATGTAGCGATGAATAGCTTATCTCCTCACAGAGCTGCTGTGAAAAATAGATGAGACGATGTATCTCAAGGCAACAAAAAGCTGCCGAATTTGAATTACTATACGCGTGCAAATTAAGATTCTTGCTTCTTGGAAGACTGAATTTGTTTCATGTTATTTTCTTTTGTACTCGGTAGATACCGAAAATCAGTGTTAAATGAACACACGCT